TGGTGCATCATTGGTCAATGTTCAATCACTGAGCCACAAACTGGGCACTGAGTGAAGTTTTTTAAAGTCAAGATGTTCTTCCTAATGAAGATTATGATGATACATATAAAAATAATATTTAATGATTATATTTGGACAATTTCTATCTGCAATGTGATTTATATACCTTCTCATTTAATACAGTCCCAACTTTATTATGTCTATTATAGATAAGAAAACTGCAGTTTAAAGAGAATAAACAATCTCTAAATTATTGTAACATTTGCTCATGATAATTAAACTTCCTTCATGAAATTTTATCCCCTTGGCTTCCCAAATTCACAAATTGTTTGGCAATTGTCCTCTCTACAGCTGGTTTTTTGTTTGTTTTTTCCTTCTAGGAGATTTTCATGAACTTCTCTATTTTCTCTCGCACATTACTTTGTTGTTATCTAAGGGTTTGTATCCTTAGCCAACTTCTCTTCTGGCACTGCACAATTTCTTCCCTATGATCTCTTCAGTTTTCATTACAATCAATAAATATTTTTAAATGTATCTTTATTGATTTCAGAGAGAGAAAAAGAGAGGGAGAGAGAGACAGAAACATTAATGATGAAGATTCATTGATCTGGGCATGTGCCCTGGCCAGGAATCAAACCTCGATCTCCAGTATCATAGGTCAATGCTCAACCGCTGAGCCACACTGGCCGGGCTACAAACAATAATTTAATTTCTCCTAAATAATCAGCTCAAGTCTGAACTTTTTTCTCCCAAGTTAAAAATTCAACCCTCTCTTGGACCGTTTCCTCTGAAATTGTCTTTAAGTGTGTTTGTTTAAAGAATTACAAGATGTCTTCGTGAGCAAAATACCATCGGGTGGCTTAAACAAAAGACATTTATTTCTCATAGTTCTGGAGATTGAAATATTCTGGATCACGGTGCCAGCATAGTTGGATTCTTGGTGCAGACGCTCTTCCAGTGGAAGCTGCCTTTTCACAGTCTCTTTAATGGTGAAATGAAGAAGATCTAGTGTCACTTTTTCTCATGATGGCACTTAATCTCATCATGAGGATCCAAGCTGATGACCTCATTTAACCTAACAACTAAAGACCCACCCCCTAATACAACACATTGGTGGGTAGGCTTCAACATATAAATTTACAGAGTTGTGAGTGGATGCAGACATCTGGTTCATGATGTAAGGTAAACCTCTTCAGAGCAGAAATAAGAGATTGTTGCTTTGAATTTCCAATGCCCAAGAAGTTTTATGTTATTAACAGGCAGTCATATGCTGTTCTGCATTTGTCAGGGTAGTATTTTTCATTTTAGCAATTCACACAGGATTACAATACAACATGTTAGTTAAATATATGATATCATGGGTTTTGTCGTAGACTGTAGAGCATACTTTCATTGTAGGAGAAGTAAAAGAGGGAGAGGAAATAAAGGAGGAGAAGGGGGTGGGGAAGGAGGGAGAAAAACAGGACAAGAGGGAGAGAAGGAGGAGACCCGGCATGAATGTCATCATAAGCACCCATTTAGAGGTTGCATCTTCAGGCCACCAGCTTAATGCCACACCTGAGATAGAGCAGTCACACTTCGTTGCTTTTTCCCTTCTATGAAAGACACTGACATTTTCAAACAGTAGGCTGTTGGGTTGTAGTATATATGGTACCTCTTTTCCTTAATTATAAAATAACAGGACGAGTTCTGGTCCATCGACATTCTAAAATGACCTACTGTTCCTGGAAGATGAAACCATAAGCATCACACAAAGGCTACTCCTAAGTTTAGAGTCCACTGTGCTGGTTTCCTTCTATCACACACAATCCCCACACTTCCTATCACGTTGAAGCAGAAAATGATGTGTGGAATAATGCCTACATTTTGGTGTCCCGACCCCAAATATGGGAGAGTTAATAGTAGGTTTTAATTGTGTGTATTAGCATCTGTCAATTTTTATTATCTCAAATTTTTTCACTTGGAATATCAATATGATAAGTTCTGAAAAATTCTTACTAATATATTAAATTGATGAATTCTGACATGGCACCAAATTAAAAGATGAAGAAGGAGGGATGAGATATATTGAATTTAATATGAATGAATGTTTCTAAAAAGTAGGAGTTTGAAGACACAGTAAGGTCATTATAGGTCAAAAGTGAGACTTAGCAATTCCACCTAACCTGGAGTTAGCAAATTCCTTTTCCCTGGAAAATTCAAGGATGAGCAAAGTAAGAGCTCTGCAGTAATATTTTAAAGGATATTTAAAATTTCTGTGAGTTGGTTATAATCAATGGCTACATCTTATTTAAAACAACAAAATTGTCAACATACAGAATAACAGTAAATGTTTTCTTATTTTTCTCTTCTTTTAAACATTTTTCTTATAAAAGTCTCAACTTATCTAAAATTTTGAAAAATCAAACATGTAGGTGATCTACAAGTTTCTGCCAACTTTAACAACCTAAATTTCTAATGGAAATTACTGTGAAATATTTGCACTGTCATTATCTCAATTCTTTACAATTTTATCTTTTCAGAAAAGGACTTTGCCTTATCCACCAATAGTACCCAATAATTCACATGATGATAAATGTCCACAGGGATATCCATATCCACACTCATATTAGTAGTAAGCACAGGACAGATGAGAGAGGTAAGCTACATCTAGTGACATTTTTTGTTCTCCAGGAATTTCAGTTGTAGGAATTTGAAGAGACAGTAAGGTCATTATAGGTGATTATGGTTCTAACAGGACCAGTTAAAACAATATGGTGTAGCTCTCCTAAAGTGAATTTATTCATCTAAATGTTTCTAAAAGAAAAGTTCTGTGCTGGTGTGGTTAGAGGTGGGCTTTAACGATGGGAACCCTGGGGTTTGCATCCTGTTTGGGTTAATTACTTGTTTCATGACCTTGAACTATTTTTAATCTTTTCTAAACTTCAATTTTCTCATGAACAAACAGGTATTGTAAAAATATGTACCCACTGTATAGAATTGGTGAGACTATTTTAAGACATATTCCATCAATGCTCATGATTAAAGTTGTATATAATTGTGACTACACGATTCCCTGGATTAAATCTGAGTTTGATCTGGTTTAAAACATGTCCTTCTAAAATTTAATCTTTGGNCCCTGGATTAAATCTGTGTTTGATCTGGTTTAAAACATGTCCTTCTAAAATTTAATCTTTGGATCAGAGGCACAAACACCATCTGGGACTTTGTTAGAAATTGAGTCTGAAGCCCCACCCAGACCTACTCAATCAGAATCTGTATATCACTAAGGNATAAGAAGATGAGGAAATATTAGTAATTTACTTTTAAAAAGTCAATTTTATCTCAAACAATATTATTACAAATTTCATGAAAGATAATTTTACTTCAAAATATAGCAGTTCTACAATGCAAAGCTGAAATTATTTCAAGAGATTTCCATTATTTTTTACTACACCTGCATAATTCATTCAAATTGCATCCTCATTATTTTTTTAAAATCAAGATGGAAATTTGTTCTATAAATGTTTAATCATTTGTTCGGTGTTTCTTGAAACACTGATGCATGTAGAAAGAAAAATGCATAGCATGTTGTATACAATTAATTTGGCCAGGAGATTTAAAGAACATGGAAATGAGGCATTTTTTAAAAGACTGGAAAGAAACAATTAGAAATAAATGCTGTTGCTTGTGATACTATTTTAGGAAATAAAGGTGCAGCTGAAATTGGTATTCATTCAGTCACCAGATATTTGTGGACCACATCGCAAGCATGCCTGAGATAGCACTGGAATACAAATACCTTTAAGCAAGAGATAGCTTATTATCCAGTTATAAAGATGGATATAAAAGCTGGCCATTCTCAGAATATCACTTGACAAAGCAGTGATGACCTTGGATGTGTTATTGAGGCCTATGATTCAAGTAGCAGTTGGGCAAGTAGGAGGAGGGGGAGTATTGACAGACCATAAACAAGCTCATTGGGAAACTAGCAAAGTAATTTCAGATGGGAAATAAAAGCCAGAGCTAAGAAGGAAGTAGTAGACACAGCAGCAATTTATTCTAAAGTAGAATGTGATTCTATAACTACTTAAGAAATTTTAGTAAAGCTTTTAAATGCAAATGATTTTAACCAAGGCACGGGTTTGAGTCAAGGAAACTTTGCCATGTCAAGTAAAAACTTATCCACACTTAGAGAAAGGGGGACTTTATTTAAAACAAAGACCTTTGCCATGAGGAGAGTGCTCAAGTCTCAGAATCTGCAACTGTCTCAAAATCAAACAGAAGGGGGCATTTTTTTCTACAGGGTAGAGAGAGGTAAGCAAAGACTAGATCTTTTAAATGACCATTGGACAAGAGAGCCCACTGTGGTCAGCCCACCCTCAGGAGAAGCTGATACAGGGCGCATACTCCGCTTTTTAGTGCTTGTTCAAGCTCTGGGACAAGCAGAGCTCAGGAGCCCAGAAAAGCCTGACTGCCATTTGGTGGAGACCAAGCAGGGGGTAACCAAAGTGTACTTGTGAAGAGTTGGTCAGACACAAGGAATAGGTAAGAATATCATTCAGAGCAGGAAAGCATAACGGCATCAGCAATGACTGCAGCTTGGTGAAAGGAATGTTTTCTCTTTTATCTGCAGGCTTGCTGAGAAGCCTTCTGTGCCCTCTCCCCAGGACAAAGCCAACAAGAGGAGAAGCCAATCAAGTAGTGTTACCGGAGCAACACACACCCGAGATCAATGATCAATTGCTGTAACACAGCAGTAATGATATTCCCTGGGCTAGGTGATTGTTCTCTAATTTGTTCTCTCTGTTAAAATATCATAAAAGTAAAAAAAAAACACAACACCTTTCCATGCACAATAAATTGGTCTATGAAGCATATGCCGGATATCCCATTGCATTCATTTCCTAGCACTGCCAAAAAAAGTACCAAAACTGGTGGCTAAAAGCACCAGAGGAGCCTTGCTCTCTGTGACAGCTCTAGGGTACAATTTGGTTTTGCCTCATCCGAGTTTCTGGCATTTATTGGCAATCCCGGCATTCCCTGGTCTGTAAATGCATCACTGCAATCTCTGTCTCTGTTGTCACAAAGCCATCTTCTCCCTCTGTCTCTTCCTATAAAGACAACAATCATATTAAATTAAGGACACACATCTTACACCTGGAAAACCTTGTCTTATCTAATTGCATCTGCAAGCACCCATATTTCTAAGTAAGATTAATTTCTGAGTTATGAGGAGTTAGAACTTCAACATATCTTTCGTGAGGGACACAACCGAGTGCATGGCACCTACAGTTATTTGGATTCTCATTAACATTTTTTACAACTATCATACGCCAACAGTCATAATATTTTTCAGTCTGTCAATATTATTACCGTGCATTACAACTTTTATGAAACTAAAGGTTTTATTCATCATAAGTCATGGACACAGGGTGTGTCTTCCTGAGAAAATCAGTCAAAACTAAAGGCCAGTCTCCCTTCCACAGAGGGGTGCACAGAACAGACAGAGCAACTTTTGGAACCAAAGACACTGGAAGGGAGCAGCAGGAGAGCACCACGGCTCTGAGGCTGGGGCAAGAAAGTGAGAGGGAAGGAGAGGTGGTAGAATGCTGAGCTGCACGTCTGCCCGCGCTCTCCTGAACCGCCTTTAGATCCTCCAGTTTACACAGTTTGGCATGTAAAGGGGCTGAAATTTAGCAAATCCAAACGGAAACCCCTTGTTGTGCCCCTCCTCCAGTCTCAGTTAATTTTTGCCCCATATGTTCTGTTCTATAATTTGAAACCTTAGAATAATTATTTGTTTTTCTTCTCTGCCCTTGCATAGGCTCTGCCTTTGATATTAATAAACAGGTATAGTTGATACACACACAACACACACATATATATACATAATTTGTTTTACCCCTCAACTTACTAGTGAGTTTTATTTATAAAGAAGTTCAAGTACAGCATGGTTTCAAAATATGTATTTCTTTAAAAGGCAGAGGTCATGCAGGTGGTCTGTTAATTAGTCAATATTAATGAAATTAGTCCTTGACAATTAACTTGGCTTTGTGGTTTTCTTGAAGAGGCTAGATGCAAGTATTAACTTTTAAATATCTGACTAATGACCTAACGCTCAAGAGGTATTCTTACGTATATATACTTGTTTTCAAATGTTTCTACTGACTCTTTCCCCTTGTGGTGACATGATTCTGGATGAGTAACTTAACCTACCTGATCCCGTTTTATCTCATGTGGTGACATCCTACAGGAGTTGCTGGAAGAATGAAATGCAATAACAGATACAAGGCACCTATAAAATCAACACCTACATAGAGCAAATGCTTAAACATGGCAACCAGAATGCCTTTCACTTTCTGTGCTTAGGGGCTGCAGGCTTTGCCACAACCAATTATTAAATCTTTACACAATCCTCTTGAATAAGGTATTATTACATCCCGATAAAGAATGCAACCTCGCCCGGTCGAGCGTGGCTCAGCGGTTAAGTGTCAACCTAGGATCCAGGCCATCAGGGTTCGGTTCCCGGTCAGGGCACATGCCCAGGGTTCGGGCAGCAGCCAATCAATGACTCTCTCATCACTGATGTTTCTCTCTCTCTCTCCCTCTCTCTTCCTCTCTCTGAAATCAATAAAGATATATTTTAAAAAAGAAAAAAAATAAAAGAATGCAACCTCAATCAGAATTAAGTGACTTATTTCAATTGAACATCAGTAAATTGTAAGAGAAAAATAAATCAGTATTTAGCTTATTAGATTCCAAAGCCCATTTTATTATAATAATTCCACCTTGCTTATTGGGGCTGTAACAAATTACCAGAAACCTTGTAGCTTAATACAATGCAAAAAATTTTAATAAAAATTTAGAAACATGCTACTGAGGTAAGAGTTAGATAAGTAGGTACTCAGAAAACCGTCACCACCATCAAGGCCACAGACATGTCCATGTTTTCCCAATGCCTCCTCCCGCCCCTCTGATTATTGTTATCTTTCATATGAATGTACGTGGTAATAAAATTGAACATAAAATCGACCCTTTTAGCAAATCTTAAGTATAGAATGTAATATTGTTAGCTATAGGAAATATGTTGTACAGTAGGTCTCTAGAACTTATTTATCTTGCGCAAGTCAAGTTTTATATCCTCTGACCATCACCATCCTCTTTTCCCCTCAACTGCACCCCCTGGAATCTTCCATTCTCCTCTATGCTTCCATGAGTGTGACAATTTTAGAATCTACATGTAAATGAGATTTTAAAATATCTTTCTTTCTATGTCTGGTCATCAATTTGCTCAGCTTTGTAAGTCTGAAAAAGTTATTTTGCCTTCATTCTAGAAGTACACTTTCACTGGTTAAGGAATTTGTTGGCAGGATATTTTTCTTTTAGTATTTAAAAAAAGTTTTGTAACTATCTTCTAGCTTGGATATTTTCTATTATCGAAATATTTTTCATATCTTTGCTCTTCTGTCATTTATATATTTGCTCTTTTGTACATAATATGTCTTCTTACCTGTTGCTACCTTTTTATTTTTTTGTATGACTGCAAGAAATTTTATTACAATGTGTTTTATTC